GCCACATAGGCGCTTCCAAAAAGGCAGGGGGGCGGCGGTGATTCGCCGTAGGCGTCTTCGATCCGCCGCCCCCTGTCGATTCATCGCAGGGGTGCTAGATTTTCTCGGTTTGGTTTTGGTTCTTTTTCAAAAAAAACTCCCTCTGGGGCTCCGGCCCGTCCCGCCGGCCACACGGAAAGGTGCTCAATCCGGAAAAAATCCTCCAAAATGGCTCCAAGATGGCCTCCAAGATGGCCAAGATGGCCCAGGAGGACCTCCAAGATGGTCCAAGATGGCCTCCAAGTCCGCCCAAAATGGTCCAAGGCGGCCTCCAAGACGGCCCAAGAGAGTCGAAGATGGCCCAAGACGGCCCAAGAGGCCCCCCAGAGGCCTCCCAGACGGCCCAAGAGGCTCCAGGAGGGCCCGAAGAGGCCAAAATCATTGATTTTACATAAGTTTTTGAAGGATTTGGGAATGTGTTTCTTCTCGGCATTCCGACGGCTCAAGACGGCCCAAAAGGCCCCCAAGATCACCCAAGAGGCCCCCAAGAGGGACCCATGACGGCCCATGTGGCCTCAAGATGGCCCCAAGAACGCCCCAAGACGGCCCAAGAGGCCTCCAACACGCCCAAGATGGCGTCCAAGACGCCCAAGATGGCCTCCAAGACGGCCCCGAAGCGCCCCAAGAGGGTCCCCCGCTGGCCCAAAAAAGGCCCCCAAGACGGCTCCCGACGGCGTCAAACGTGCCAGGAACCCACCAAGATGGCCGAAGTTGGCTCGAAGCTGGCCCACACGGGCCCAAGAGGCCCCCACGAGGGCCTCCAGGAAGGCCAGAAGAGGCCAAAAACATCGATTCCCTACCTAAGGTCTGCCCAGAAGGGTTCTTACTTTATAAGCTTAAAGGGGCCGGACAGTGGGGCTCGCCCCGGGCGGTTCCCCCGGAATCCGCCCCGCGGTTCCCCCAGCGACGCTCCCTTAGCTTAGCGTTGCTTATCTCATCTTAGCTTAGCTTATCTCATCTTAACTTAGCTTCACCTTGACTCAAGTTTATCTTAGCTTAGCTTACCTTCATCTTAGCTTCGCCGAGCTTTAGCATAGCAGAGCACAGCATAGCATAGCAGAGCGTAGCACAGCACAGCGCAGCACAGCATCTCATAGCAAAGCCCAGCATAGCACAGCATAGCGCAGCATAGCATAGCATGGCAGAGCATAGCGCAGCACAGCACAGCACAGCATAGCACCGCGCAGCATAGCGTTGCATCGCATAGCATAGCATAGCATAGCAGAGCAGAGCATAGCACAGCAGCAAAGCAAAGGCAAAGCAACAGCAACGACAGCAAAGCAAAGCACAAGCAACGCAAAGCAAAGCAAAGCAAAGCAAAAGCAAAAGCAAAGCAAAGGAAAGGAAAGGCAAAGCAAAAGCAACGTGCGGCTGATGCCGAGCTGGCCTCGATGGCCGGACCGGAGCCCCCGCAAGCAGTGCCTTCCGTAACCACATCGGCTCAAGTCCAGAGGCCCCTGCCACACAGCCACCCGCGCTCATGCCCCGAGGTTGGCGGAGCGAGGCGTTCAGCGGCGCTGCGGAGCCCGCCTCGGCACCAGGTGGTGCTGCACAGCCCACCCGGCGTGTCGTGGCCATCGACGCGGGCGACGTCGCGTCCAAGCGGAACGACGATGAGCGCGTTGAAGGCAGCATGATGTACACGGCGGTCGAGGATGGCTTCTGGGCGTTCGCTGTGCTCTTTGCGGCTGAGCACGGCCTGGAAGACATGCACTTCATCAGACGCACGACGCGGGGCACGCGGTGCTCGCGCCATGCCCGCCTGGGCAGGGTAGAGGCGTGGGTCGCCAGGCTGATCCGGAGCACAGGCTTGCTCGAGATGGGGGTTCCTGACGCGAACTTCCATTTGACGGCTCAGAAGAGCGGGGAGGATGGCAAGGGCGTTGCTTCTCAGCATTTGCAGCTGACCAACATGATCGACAACGATCTCGAGTGTTTGTGGAGTGTCTTGAACGACGGAGTTGGCAACTCGGACCGGTCGATCAGGCGGAGCAAGGGCCGCGTCATCCAGCACACGCGCATCCGCCCTGTGGACAGCAGGCGGGGGCTTGATGAAGACGACGACTGGCTGGAGAGATGCAACTCGCGGCTCCAGGTTGCCAAGTATTTCCAGCTGGAGCAACTGGACATCTGGGATGAGTTGGCGAAGCTCGGGCCGCCGGCGATGCCCCACCGCACGTCGCACGGAGGCCGGCCCCCGACAGCGGCGGAAGTGATCGATCTGTGTCAAAGCGGTGGTCGCCGCGAGCACAGCCGCAATCGCGGCCGTCGCCGCAGTCGCGGCGGCGACGACGACGATCACGCTGATGAGCCTCGCCGAATGGAAACCAGGCGCCGCGGGAGCAGCGCTGCACCGCCTGCTGACGCCTGGCAAATCCAGCGTCCACGACTCAAAAAGAAGAGCCGCAGTGGACTCACACGCGACGGCCGCCTCTGCCAGCGACCCTGGATGCCGACGTGTCTAGCTGTCACTTCAGAGCTTTGCACTGTGGCCACGGCTTATTCAAGGTTGCGCACCTGCTGGAAGCCGCGCATCCCGACGATGGCCACCCATTCTCCGGCAAGATCCTCAAGCTCAGCAAAGAAGCGGATCCAGAGCCCGAGCTTTTCGCAAAACCCGGGACAGCGGCATTTACCAACAGATTCTCGCGGCAGCTCCCGTCGTTCAGCTCAACAGCGTTGCGCGGCCTGTCTGTCAATGGAACGGCTGGATCACTGAGCTAGCCGTTCCATTGGTCCAGGCGCTAAGGCGCGGTGCGTGCTCCGAGCAGCACATTGTTGGGGCAGCGCGCTGCATGCTCCGAGCGTTCACACTTGGGCATTGCATGGATGACCCGCCCCTCAGCAACTTTGGGATGCTGGAGGGCGATGTCGTTATAATCGACGCTGGCTGCTCGCCTCGGCTCGACAAGGAGATGGCAAACTCACGATTCAACAAAAATGTGATGAGGAAATTCTGGGCCAGAGCTGGGCGTGTCATCGCGCCCGAAGAGCTGGCCAGATACCAAGGCCCATGGCAGAATGCTTCGACGATGGCCGAGGCGCAAGTCGCATTCGATTATCTGTGGGACTCTCGCCGAAGCAGACCTGGACAGCCTGCGCCTGCGTCTGTTCCCGCTCGTTCTCGCGCCGTCCTCATCCAGCAGCGCTGAACAGCCTGCACCCCTGCGTCGCGCCGCATGTCCTCGCGTGGCCGCTGCCTTGGAGGAGCTCTCGGACGAGGTGCCGGAGTGGGTCACGCGCAACTTCCTTTGGGGCAATATGTCAGGGCACGGGCTCCTCCCTGATGGCACTGTCGGGTACCTCCCGGACGACGAGCGCTGCACTGCTGAGGTCAAATTGAAGCTGACGATCAGATTGACAACCGGACGCCGCGAGGGAATATGCAACGACTCCAGCATCGACATCCTGAGTGAACAAGAGCGCGATGGTGCCCTGAAAGATTGGAAAGGCGACTACGAGTAATGGATGCACTCCCAGACGCTGCGAGAGCGGCGGGGGGCATCGGGGCAGCCATGGCATCATTTTTTGTGGCGCGCTTTCCGCACGTTCCTTTTCAACTCGCTGGAAACTACGAGTTGACCCTTTTCTTTCTCGTTGATCCTTTCAGCGGTGGCAACGTGGAACTCTCCCGCAGCTCGCGGAGCAGCTCCACAACTGGTGCCAAAGTTCTTGAGAAAGCCAAAAATGGCCTACGCCAAGCGGCAGGAGCAATCCAGCTTGGACAGACCGCCTAAAAGAGTACATATGTGTGTATGTATGCATGTAAACGTGTATGTATATACGTGCGTATGTATGCATGTATGAATCCATGTATGCTTCTATATTATGCATGCACCACGAGCACCCTAGCTAGGAGTTGGAGGATCTAGGAAAGTAGTAATAGTACTAATAGGAGTCGTAGTAGTAATTGCTGTTGTTGTAGGAGGAGAAAGCATGGCCTGAGGCGCGCCAGTCCATCCGAAGAGATGCGCGGAAGCTTTGTTCGTGGAAGGTCATATGGTCACATATACCTTGATGATCATATATTATGGCATGGTCATATCTACCTTGAAATTATTTTATGGTTATGTTATGGTCATTCCTACCACGATGGCCTCGATGGCCTCATACCAAGCAAACGCAAAAGGAAAAGCTCATGGAGACGAGGAGCCCAGGAACCCACGCAGAACGCAAGAGGACAAGAGACATGACTAGTGAGTAGCAGCGCCCACGCAACATACATATACGATGGCACATGACAGCATAGCCGCCGTTGCCACCGCCGCCCAACCACCGGCTCGCCCTCGACCAGCTTGCTCTTACACTGCCCCACCATGGATGCTTCAAGTAGGGGCGCTGCTTTTGCCGGCGCCCTCCCTTGTACGCCGCGTCAGTGCTGTTGTTCTGGCCCAAGGACAAACAGTTGCAGCGCCCCCCCGCATTGGCCCGTTCTTGCCGCAGCCACGGCGCCGAAGGACGAGACTTCCAAAAGCAGCGTTGCATAGCCTGCGGTTGCAGCAGCTCGTGCTGCACAGCCTGCTGCACAGCCTGCGGCAGCAAGCGGCGGCGCCCCACAGCCTGTCACACTACCCCTGCGTGAGCTGAACAAAAGAAGCGCGCAGTTCGGGGCATGGGCCGCTGTTGCCCAACAAGCCCAGGCTGATACCTGCGAGTACACGTGGGATGGCAAACAGAGAACTGGGAAGGCTTTCTCCTGTACCTTCGCGTCGCCACAGGATCCCACTGAGTACTGCATCGGCCAGATGCGGTGGAGCAGACAAGCCGAAGAAAAGTTCCGCGCGGTTCAGGACAATCTACCCGACGGTCTCGCCTTCATCATGACGAAAGTGCCCATCGTCAGCGACGCGAAAAAAAAAAAAAAAAAAAAAAAAAAAAAAAAAAAAAAAAAAAAAAAAAAAAAAAAAAAAAAAAAAAAAAAAAAAAAAAAAAAAAAACGTTACACTCACGCCCCCATCCAGACGGTCGTGAACCTGAACGACGCAGGCTTCAGTCGTTTGCTGAACAGCAAGGACACCAAGGATTGCTATCCTGAGCCTCCCGGGACAATCGCAGATTGCGCAAACCTCAGCAACCAACAGTTATTCGACGTGACGGCGCTGGTCAAATCGGCGAGCCCATTCCGGCCCGTGGGCAGATCGGGCGACGCCATGCGCGTCGTCTTCAACGTAGAAATCATCGACGGCTCCAAGTCCGGCGACCGCGCTCGCACGATGCCGCTGAACGTCTTCACCGACCAGGCGACTACCCCGGACGCTGGTGGGCCGCCGACCTTGGCGTTCTTGAATGGCGCGGCGGGAGTTCCACAACCTGTGAGCTTCCTTCGCATCAAAGGCGCTCAAGATGATGACGGAAACTTCTCTTTCACCACCACCAAGAACACCATTATCGTTGAAGGCGCCACAACAAGCAAAGGACGTCACCTTGCAGCAGAGGCCGCCACCTTGCTTGGCCTGACTGACACCGCACTGCCGTCAGGAAGTTTGACGAATGGGTCACCAGGGACTTTTCAACGGAGCTTGCCACAGAGACCACGCGCGCGCTCTACAAGGCCATTGCGAACACCGTGGTTACAGGCGTGGAAGTTCTCGACAACGCGAAAGAGACTTCCTGGCAGTTAAATTGGGCCCGCGTGGAAGATCCGCCCGCAGGCGCCAACATCCGCACCAACGATGGCAGGGGCCTCTGGTTCCCTGTAACGGTTCGCGACTGCGCGGGCACGCTCACGCTGTGCATCCAGGAGGCGGCCGCTCTCAAACCCAGCGGCTTCGATAACGCAGACGACTTCGAAGCAGCTCTCGCTGCCAGCGTCAACGCCATCTTCGGCGGCGACGCCTCCGCCGAAGCAGCGCTGCAGTCGGTGCTCGAGAAGATCGGCAGAGATTTCCTGCCCGTAGCCTTGTCGGACGGCCGCTTCGAGGCGGCAGCTCTTCAGCACGTCGCCGAGAAGCTGGAGGACTTCTTGCGGGCCGTCGAAGAGCAGCGCGCGAATCACATGCGCCGCGCGCCTGGCCTGGACTCCGACGCGATCTACGCACCTCGCCACATGAAAGAGATCCAGAAGAAGTGGATGAAGGATTATTAGCCGTGGATGAAAACGGAAACGGCCCAGAAATACGAGCGGCTGCTCAACGCGAGGTGCAGGCAGAAAGCGCACCACCTCCGACGAGGCGTTTTCTCCGCGTACTTGTCCCAGATCCTCGGCAACAAAAATATGTTGCTCTCCGCCATCCAACATCGAATCTGCAATGCTGCACAGCCTGCACAAGCAATGTGGCGGTTCATGGACACGTGGACGGAGGAGAAGTCGTCGACTGACCACAACAGGGGGAACGCGACGGAGAGGGAGGACATCGGCGACGACGAGGACGAGGGGCCGCACAAGCGCTGGCGCCGTGAGTGAGCGAGCGGCTCGCGCCTCGCAGCTCGCGGGTCGCGCCTCGCAGCTCGCAGCTCGCACCTCGCAGCTCGCACCCGGCGAGCGAATGCGAAAATATGCACGCGCGTGTCTGCGCACAGGCAACCCAAAAAACAAATCAAGCAAAAGCAAAAAACACAATCGAAACAAAAGCAACAACAAAAAAAAATACCAAAAAGATCATGGCAATGCAAAACAAAAACACAACCAATGCGAACGTGTAGATGGACATGTAGATGTAGATGTAGATGTAGATGTAGATGTAGATGTAGATGTAGATGTAGATGTAGATGTAGATGTAGATGTAGATGTAGATGTAGATGTAGATGTAGATGTAGATGTAGATGTAGATGTAGATGTAGATAGATGTAGATGTAGATGTAGATGTAGATGTAGATGTAGATGTAGATGTAGATGTAGATGTAGATGTAGATGTAGATGTAGATGTAGATGTAGATGTAGATGTAGATGTAGATGTAGATGTAGATGTAGATGTAGATGTAGATGTAGATGTAGATGTAGATGTAGATGTAGATGTAGATGTAGATGTAGATGTAGATGATGTAGATGTAGATGTAGATGTAGATGTAGATGTAGATGTAGATGTAGATGTGTAGCTGTAGCTGTAGCTGTAGCTGTAGCTGTAGCTGTAGCTGTAGCTGTAGCTGTAGCTGTAGCTGTAGATGTAGATGTAGATGTAGATGTAGATGTAGATGTAGATGTAGATGTAGATGTAGATGTAATGTAGATGTAGATGTAGATGTAGATGTAGATGTAGATGTAGATGTAGATGTAGATGTAGATGTAGATGTAGATGTAGATGTAGATGTAGATGTAGATGTAGATGTAGATGTAGATGTAGATGTAGATGTAGATGTAGATGTAGATGTAGATGTAGATGTAGATGTAGATGTAGATGTAGATGTAGATGTAGATGTAGATGTAGATGTAGATGTAGATGTAGATGTAGATGTAGATGTAGATGTAGATGGATGTGGATGTAGATGTGGATGTGGATGTAGATGTAGATGTAGATGTAGATGTGTATGTGGATGTAGATGTAGATGTAGATGTAGATGTAGATGTAGATGTAGATGTAGATGTAGATGTATATGTAAACGTAGATGTAGATGTAGATGTGGATGTGGATGTAGATGTAGATGTAGCTGTAGATGTAGATGTAGATGTAGATGTAGATGTATATGTAGATGTAGATGTAGATGTAGATGTAGATGTAGATGTAGATGTAGATGTAGATGTAGCTGTAGCTGTAGCTGTAGCTGTATATGTAGCTGTAGCTGTAGCTGTAGATGTAGATGTAGATGTAGATGTAGATGCAGGTGTAGGTGTATATGTAGGTGTCGGTGTCGGTGTCGGTGTCGGTGTCGGTGTCGGTGTAGGTGTAGGTGTAGGTGTAGGTGTAGGTGTAGGTGGTGTAGGTGTGTAGTAGTGTCGGATGTAGATGTAGATGTAGGTGTAGTAGATGTAGATGTAGATGTAGATGTAGATGTAGATGTAGATTTAGATGTAGATGTAGATGTAGATGTAGATGTATAGTATGTAGATGTAGATTAGATAGAGATGTAGATGGTAGATGTAGATGTAGTAGAAGATGTAGATGTAGTAGATGTAGATGTAGATAGAAGTAGATGTAGATGTAGATGTAGTGTAGATGTAGATGTAGATGTAGATGTAGATGTAGATGTAGATGTAGATGTAGATGTAGATGTAGATGTAGATGTAGATGTAGATGTGTGTGATGTAGATGTAGATGTAGATGTAGATGTAGATGTAGATGTAGATGTAGATGTAGATGTAGATGTAGATGTAGATGTAGATGTAGATGTAGATGTAGATGTAGATGTAGATGTAGATGTAGATGTAGATGTAGATGTAGATGTAGATGTAGATGTAGATGTGTGATGTAGATGTAGATGTAGATGTAGATGTAGATGTAGATGTAGATGTAGATTGTAGATGTAGATGTAGATGTAGATGTAGATGTAGATGTAGATGTAGATGTAGATGTAGATGTAGATGTAGATGTAGATGTAGATGTAGATGTAGATGTAGATGCAGATGCAGATGTAGATGTAGATGTAGATGTAGATGTAGATGTAGATGTAGATGTAGATGTAGATAGATGAGATGGTAGATAGATGTAGATGGAGATGTAGATGTAGATGTAGATGTAGATGTAGATGTAGATGTAGATGTAGATGTAGATGTAGATGTAGCTGTAGCTGTAGCTGTAGGTGTAGGTGTAGCTGTAGCTGTAGCTGTAGATGTAGTGTAGATGTAGTATGTAGGTGTAGGTGTAGGTGTAGGTGTAGGTGTAGGTGTAGGTGTAGGTGTAGGTGTAGGTGTAGGTGTAGGTGTAGTGTAGGATGTAGATGTAGATGTAGATGTAGATGTAGTAGGTGTAGGTAGGTGTAGGTGTAGTATGTAGTATGTAGATGTAGATGTAGATGTAGATGTAGATGTAGATGTAGATGTAGATGTAGATGTAGATGTAGATGTAGATGTAGATGTAGATGTAGATGTAGATGTAGATGTAGATGTAGATGTAGATGTAGATGTAGATGTAGATGTAGATGTAGATGTAGATGTAGATGTAGATGTAGATGTAGATGTAGATGTAGATGTAGATGTAGATGTAGATGTAGATGTAGATGTAGATGTAGATGTAGATGTAGATGTAGATGTAGATGTAGATGTAGATGTAGATGTAGATGTAGATGTAGATGTAGATGTAGATGTAGATGTAGATGTAGATGTAGATGTAGATGTAGATGTAGATGTAGATGTAGATGTATGTAGATGATGTAGATGTAGATGTAGATGTAGATGTAGATGTAGATGTATAGATGTAGATGTAGATGTAGATGTAGATGTAGATGTAGATGTAGATGTAGATGTAGATGTAGATGTAGATGTAGATGTAGATGTAGATGTAGATGTAGATGTATGTAGATGTAGATGTAGATGTAGATGTAGATGTAGATGTAGATGTAGATGTAGATGTAGATGTAGATGTAGATGTAGATGTAGATGTAGATGTAGATGTAGATGTAGATGTAGATGTAGATGTAGATGTAGATGTAGATGTAGATGTAGATGTAGATGTAGATGTAGATGTAGATGTAGATGTAGATGTAGATGATGTAGATGTAGATGTAGATGTGTAGATGTAATGTAGATGTAGATGTAGATGTAGATGTAGATGTAGATGTAGATGTAGATGTAGATGTAGATGTAGATGTAGATGTAGATGTAGTAGATGTAGATGTAGATGTAGATGTAGATGTAGATGTAGATGTAGATGTAGATGTAGATGTAGATGTAGATGTAGATGTAGATGTAGATGTAGATGTAGATGTAGATGTAGATGTAGATGTAGATGTAGATGTAGATGTAGATGTAGATGTAGATGTAGATGTAGATGTATGTAGATGTAGATGTAGATGTAGATGTAGATGTAGATGTAGATGTAGATGTAGATGTAGATGTAGATGTAGATGTAGATGTAGATGTAGATGTAGATGTAGATGTAGATGTAGATGTAGATGTAGATGTAGATGTAGATGTAGATGTATATGTAGATGTAGATGTAGATGTAGATGTAGATGTAGATGTAGATGTAGATGTAGATGTAGATGTAGATGTAAATGTAGATGTAGATGAATATGTAGATGTAGATGTATATGTATATGTAGATGTAGGTGCATATGTAGGTGTAGATGTATGTGTATGTGTAGATGTTGATGTAGACGCATGTGTAGATGTAGGTGTAGCTGTACATGTAAATGTGAATTCGGTTGTTGATGTTGATGTGGATGTAGATGCAGGTGCAGATGCTGATGTAGTTGTCGGTTTAGATATAAATGTTCCTTTCCTCCAACTCCTAGGTCGGGTCGCACTGGTGTATTTTCCTGAGGTTTTTGACGGACTTTGACATTTCCTTCTCGTCGGCCCCCCGACGGCCCGAGACGGCCCAAGAGCCCCCAAGAATCGCCGAAAGATTGCCCAAGAGGCCTCCAAGACGGCCAAGATGACCTTCAAGACGCCCACGTGTTCCCCGAAGGCTTTCCGATGGCTCGGCAGGTCCGGCCTCGACGTTCGGCCACATAGGCGCTTCCACAAAGGCAGGGGGCGGCGGTGATTCGCCGTAGGCGTCTTCGATCCGCCGCCCCCTGCTGATTCATCACGAGGGCGCCTGGGGCACTGAATCCTCTCGCTTTTGGTTCTTGCCCCAGAAAAGAACCCCGCCCCGGGCTTCGGCCAGCCCCGCCGGCCACCCGAAGGGGATCTCAACGACCGCAGAAGTTCTCCAAGACGGCTCCGGATCGCCTCCAGGATGGCCACGTCGGCCCGAGACGGCGTCCGCGACGGCCAAAGATGGCGCCCAGATCGCCAAGGATGGCCCAAGATGGTTTCCAGGACAGCCCGGGAGAGGCCTCGAAGACACCCAAGATGGCCCCACGAGAGCCCAAGAAGGCAGCCGAACGATTCCAGGACGGCCCACGACGCAACCAAGACTGCCCGGGATGGCCCAAGATGGCCCAGGACGGCCCAACACCTCCCAACAGGCCGACAAAACGGCCCAAGAGAGCCCAAAGAAACTCCCAAAGAGAGCCCCAAGAAGCCAAACTCAATGTTTTGCTGTA